AAAAAAAAAAAAAAAAAAAAAAAAATGTTACTGCTAATTAGGGGGAGTAAGAAATAAGACTTTGTTGTATTAAACCACTGAGATTTTGAAGTTTGTTTCTGCAGTGCATTAGCATATTAATCAATACTGTATAAACTAACTTCTTGAATTGCTTTGAATTTAAATTCTGAAAGTAAGTGCTTAAATTCAACTAATAAACGTCCTTAGAGTCCTATGTGAGATCATTTTGGGCATTTTACCTGTAATGATTTGTCAATTAGGATAGTTATTTTCTTCTTGTCATTAGAATATCTGCTTATGGATTCTTATTCATTGACTCTTTCCAACAACATTTATAAAACTTAATACTCTAATAGCTTCCTGAGAATAGTAAATTATCAGTGAAAGGTGCACTCATGGCGCTTTTCTAGCATAGGAATGCACTGCTTGACACAGTTGGTACTCAATAAATGTGAATATGTCCATCAAATACCTGTTTTATTAATGTTATTTGATGTGTTATTACCACAGAGACTGCACTATTAAATGGCCAAAGGCCAATCTCAGGTAGTACAATGGATATGGAAATTACGTTTCTGACTTTCAGTAAAGAAACCATTTACAAAATCTGAGAGTGGAATAAGTATGTTGACTCGGGGCCATCAGAAGAGACTGTGCAGATGCAGAGGTGCTTGTTGAGGGGGACTGAGGTCCAGACCAATTTCCAATCTCCAATCTGCTCTGTCCCAGAAGGCATTAGTGAGTAGAAGGAACACTTTTATAATTAGTCCCCCTAGAACAGGTACGTTTTTGTAATTAGTCTAGAGAAAGTACCTTTCTCTTAGCACAGATTTGCATATCTGCCTACAGAAGACTTTCAGTGGAATGATATCTGCAAAAATACCATTTTGGTTTGATGGGTTCAGACAACAGTTTTAAATGGAATCTCCAAGTTTGATGAGAAGACAGAAAACAGACTATTTTCAGTAGGTTGGATACAAGTGAGCAGTAAAGGCCAAAGGATGGTATTGGCATTATTTTAAAGCAATGGTTCTCAAATGGGGGCAAATTTGCCCCCTGGGGGATATTTGGCAATGTCTGGAAACATTTTTGATTGTCAAAATTAGGGAGGTGCATGGTGATACTGGCATCTAGTGGGTAGAGGCAGGGATGCTGCTAAACATCCTACAAATACACAAGATAGCCACCCCCGTCATTTAGAATGAAATAGTATCCATTCTAAATGTCAGCAATGCCAATTGAGAAACCCTGACATTTCTTTCTTTCTAAAAGAAGAAACCCCTAATATCTAAAATCTAATTGTATGTTTAGAGTCATAAGCCTATCTTCCCAGGACCTTCTGTTTAAGGAAACTTTGTTCATAATGTATACTTTTCTAATTCCAGCTAATTATAGTGCCTTAGAGTGTTCATAAGTCAAAAGTTATTTGAGGGTGATTGCTTTTACTTGCTCAAAAACAGAATCCTCAGTTTGAATATAAAGTCCTGATTTTTACTCTTTTTACCCTTTATATTTTTTGCAATTCCTCATCCAAGTTCTCCTGGAAATTGGGTTGAGATAAAGGGAGGGCAAGACCTCAAATCCACGACTAGAGAGATAACTGTGTTTCATGGGGTGGAAAAACATGAAATTCTGAGTCTCGGATGGCCCTCCTAAGGAAGCATCGACTCCCACCACTCTTCTTAGCATCGATCAACCTGCCCGATTGGTTTTAAGATTACTGCCGCCGTCCTCAAGTACTGCTTGCCTCTGGACAAGAGCGACAGGTAACGCCTCCCAGCAGTTTTAGCCGGGCAGCCCCGTGTCCCCAAGCACAGGCCCAAACTTCCGGAGCACACCGCTCGACGGTGGGCGGAGCGGCGTGGAAGGCGGGCCACACATCTCCTCTGAGGACTAGAGCACCGGGCAGCCCAGGCAGGTCGAGGGTCTGCGAGGCGACCGGGCCCCTCGCGGCCCGCCGGAGGGTCCGCGCGCCGCCGGAAGTTGGAGGGGGCGCTCGTCCGAGCCCCGGCCCCACAGCCAAGCCCTCCGCAGGGTCCGCCCTCCGCCGGGCATGGAGGAGGGCGCGGCAGCCGCGGCTGCCAGGACCCGCCCCCTCGCCTTCCAGAGCAGGCGACAGGCGGCGCGAGGAGGCGGGGCCGCGGCTGCTGGCGGTGTCTGCGCCTCGCGGTTTCGGAGCTAGCAGACGCTCGGGGAACATGGCGGCAGCGGAGACCGCGGTCCCGGCGCTCCCCAGCGGCGGTGGCTTGGGGGCGCCGTCGGGCACGGTCCCCGTGCTTTTCTGCTTCTCGGTCTTCGCGCGGCCCTCAGCCGTGCCGCACGGCGCGGGCTACGAGCTGCTCATCCAGAAGTTCCTCAGTCTGTACGGCGACCAGATCGACATGCACCGCAAATTCGTGGTGCAGCTCTTCGCGGAGGAGTGGGGCCAGTACGTGGACCTGCCCAAGGGCTTCACGGTGAGCGAGCGCTGCAAGGTGCGCCTCGTGCCGCTGCAGATCCAGGTGGGTCCCGCGGGAGGGCCGCGCGCCGAGCCGCAGCTCCCGGTCCCCGTGCGTCCCCGTCCCCGCGCGTCCCCGTCCCCGCGGCGCTCCTCAGGTGCCCCGCGGCGGCGGGCCCTGCGCACCGCGCCCGCTGGGAAGGGCCGTGCCGCTGTCGCAAGCCTCCGGGATGGCCCAGCGAAGGCGCCTGTCCGAAGGTGACGGTCACCGGCTGTCCTCGGCCGAGGACGGGGCGTGGGCCTCCCGGCTATTGGCGGCGCGCGCGAACGCCCCCACGTGTGTGGTCCTCAGCCGCCCGCATCCGCTTTGTGTGCTGGGAGCGAGTCCTAGCCTCCTGCGTAACCGAAGGGCTGTGCAGGGTAAGCTGTGTTTTTATTTGGGTTGATGCAGAACCGGGGAAAAGAGATTGTGGGGGAGTATCGGCCTTAGGGTTTGTTCCCGGAGTTGTGTTTACCACTTGCGGAAACACAAACTTCAGAAGTCCTATCCTTTCACCCATCCTCTTCCTCAGTTTTCTGCTCCTTTGATCTTAAGTCTTTCCTAACCTTAAGTGAAATAACCTTGTTTAGCCTCTTCCAAGTAACTGTCAACTGAATCTGTTGATTACATATATACGTTGCCTACCTTGAAAAAGTCGTTTGACTCAGCACTGCAGGACCTTCTTAAATACCCAACTTTAGCTAGACCATTCTTTCCTGGTCGTGCTGGCAGAAAAAGTTGTCATACTTGAGGATTATTTTATGCCTTTTTAATATTTTTAAAAAGCTGTGCTCTAATACTGCGCAGATCTGCCTCCTGTGTTCTTTTTATGCTCAGCTCAGAGGATTCACCAGAAGATTTATCCTGTTGAAAAGCAAGAACAAAAGGTGTATTTTAGGTACTACACCACCACCATTTTTTTTGGTTGAGAAACCGGTAAGCCATTTCTTTGGAAGACCAAACTGAAATGTGGGATTCAGGATTAGAAGGCATTTTAATATTCAAGTGTCATTTTCTGAGGACTGTTATGTAGTTTTTGGTGGTTTTTTTGTTTGTTTGTTTTTCACTTGTAGTTGTCTGTGGAATTGGTCTTGTTTGATATTATTCCAGCAAGTGATAGCAAAGGAAGGCCAGAAGCTTCCAAAGCAGATACTTTAACCAGAGGGCAAAGGCTGTGAGATTCTGTGGTCAACCCTTGGAGAGCCAAAAGGGAGGTAGTTGGTGTCTGATACCCTAGAATTTGCCCTGCTCTTGGGAGAGTTGTGGTTGGTAGGTGTTTACTACCACCCATTTTTATGCCTTCAAGAGTTTTCATGGCTGACACCTCTCTGCAGCCTTCCTTGTCAGTCTGTTTAGATTATTGCTGCCAAAATATGGAAGAAGCTGGATGCACCTTTGACAAATCCATTAATAAAGGGGAGAATCCAAATACTAGCTGAAGAGATCTGGAGCTTTACTGAGGATGCAGACTTCTTTGTGATGCATTTCCTGTAGTGGTTGGGAGGGAGAGTGGGCTGTTACCTAATAAGATGTTATGCCAAACTAGCACCCTCCCCAAGTCTTTAAGACTTCCCCCTCCCCCAACAATGGGATTTCTTATTTTGAAAAATTTAAAGCCTGGATCTGAGAACTCTTTTTAACTTATCAGTTTAGAAGTTAATGAAATATTTGTATATACCTGAAACGTCTTGTACATTCTCAAAAGGCATTATATAATTGAGGTCACATGTGGCTTTTGAAGTCTTTTGCTTGGTATTGGAGATAAAATATAGTTATTTTTTTGTGGTGATGTTTAAAATAATAATGATAATATCACTACTCTGTCCCATTCTTTTAAAAATGTTATTTTTTTCCCCACTAAATAGTCCAATAATTCTTAAGCATCTGTTATAGGATACTTTATATATTTTAAAGTATTTAAAAATATTTTTATATTCTTTCATTTTAGTAATCACAATAGCTTGACTTCTTCAGCCAGGTGCCTCCCCCAGCTTAAAAATAGGTAATGTGGAGGAATATACACACATACCATATATATCCATATACTTATTCTGATACCTATTTATATGAAAAGAGATATATATGTGTGTGTGTGTATGTGTATGGATATTCTCAGAAGAAAAAGGGAAGATACTTCTTTTCATGACCGTTTTACTATATTTTTTTGGAACCTGGCTGTGTAATCCTAGAGACATGGACATTTTATGGCTGGATGAGAACGTAGAGTTCACTCCACATTTGAGTGGCAGCTGTAAGTGCCTGGCCCAGTGAATGTAAACATCGGTAAGACCCAATTCTTGTTCCGTACCTAGTAATCTAACTCCTTCGTTTTACCAAAGAGCAGAACATGTAGGAAATTGCCTGAGGTTCCATGGCAAAGCGTGTGAAGGTCCTACAGCTGGGCATAGCATTTATGTTCTCTTTTCACGCTTAATGAAAATAGCAAGCAGAATGGAAAACAAGCCGCAAACTTGAGCTTGTAACATCATTTGTTTTGAGGCTATTCGTTGTTTCTGTGGAACAGATGCCTGTCACTCAGCAAGACTCAAGGTGGCCTGTCAGTGAGGCCATGCTCTGGGTATAGGCCCCTTCTCCCAGAGGCAGGGATGAAGAGCATGTTTGGCCACATGTAATCCACAGCTTAAATAATGCCATTTATTATTTCTCCAAGAATAGGCCTTATAGCCTCTGTGGCCCTGGCTAACATACAAAATATTCTAGAATGTATTCTTTTTTTTTTTTTTTTTTCGGTACGCGAGCCTCTCACTGTTGTGGCCTCTCCCATTGCGGAGCACAGGCTCCGGACGCGCAGGCTCAGCGGCCATGGCTCACGGGCCTAGCCGCTCCGCGGCACGTGGGATCTTCCTGGACTGGGGCGTGAACCCGTGTCCCCTGTATCGGCAGGCGGACTCTCAACCACTGCGCCACCAGGGAAGCCCTAGAATGTATTCTTAATTTACACAGGGGTCCGAGTTTGCTTTCACGCTTGTTCTGACTGACGTTGCTAGTGACCTTGTAAAACACAGTGGCTGCTTGTGCCACACTGTCTGCGCTGGTGGTTGGTTAGTGGTTCTGTGGGGATTGATCTTTAAGACCCCCATTGCCAGTATTAGGCTCTGGTAACTTTTTAGTGTCTTCTTTTCTGAAATATTCTGTCCAAGTGACCGAGTGTCTGCTGACAGCTCAGGTAGCTGAAGACAGCTCATGTTTCAAGCACGGTTTATGAGTCTTCAGCCTTGTCAAAATGCTTGAAGTCTAAGGAATTTTGAGACGCAGGGGAAGAAATGTAAATGAGAGGATTATACAGTGGGAATTTAGGTCATTTTCATGACTTATAAGTGTTAATTTTTCACAAGGTATTTCCCAAGTTTTAACTAACGGAGAATTCAACCCTGGACACTTGGGCAGAGCCCAAGTAGAAGAGAGGAAGAAAAGGACATAGTAAGAATGACACCAGCGAGAGGATTTTATTTCGGTATGTAGGAGGGAAGGCTCTGGCAGCTTCGTCTGGGCAGAAAATAAGGGCTTCCCTGGGAAGGTTATTTCGACTTTTTCTTGAGGTAGTTAATTTGGAAGGGATTCTGCTCCAGGTTTTACTTCTTGGAAGTTTATTAGTACTATGATTATTTTAAACAGAGGTGTAGACGTTTTATAGCTAGAAGAGACCCCAGAGTACATGGTGGGAAGGGAGAGAAGGCAGGGTTTGGAAAGAAAGGGAAAAGGACTTGGGTCTCCCTTGGGCTTACTAGTTGGAAGGTGGTGATTTTTTTTTTTTTTACTTTTGCGGTACGCGGGCCTCTCACCGTTGCGGCCTCTCCCGCTACGGAGCACAGGCTCCAGACGCGCAGGCTCAGCGGCCATGGCTCACGGGCCCAGCCGCTCCGCGGCATGTGGGATCCTCCCAGACCGGGGCACGAACCCATGTCCCCTGCATCAGCAGGCGGACTCCCAACCACTGCGCCACCAGGGAAGCCCGGAAGGTGGTGATTTTTGATTTCAGAACCTTTACTGTGGAGCGTTTAGGAGGAGCAGGTAGATAAGCTAATGCTCAGAACTCTTGAGTTAGAGAAGTAGGCAGGAACTATCTTGGGAGGCGCACAGTGTCAGGGGCACTGGAGAAAACAGCTGGATCCTGAGGGTATGATATTGTCTGCCCGCCCACTTTTTAAGAATTTAACATTGCAGATTACTGCCCAAAGCATTGTACACATTTTGCCTCTTGTGGATACATTAGAGGCTACCTATAAATAAACTGTGTTTGAGTGGGAGCTAAACACAATTTCCAAACTGTGTTTGGAAATTTTTTTCTGTCATTTAGTTTGCCAAGGGGAATCCAAAGTAGGTTCAGATATCACTGTGTTCCTGGGATCTGGCCAGCTTCACCTTCACTCCAACCTCAGGTACAGTCTAAAGAAATCCATCGTCCTTAACACTGAAATTGATGGAGTTGGCTGGCTTCCCTTAGGCAGTTAGAAAGCTCACTGGAGTTGTAACCTCAGTGCAAGTGACATTAGTGCTTACAGCAGGTGAGTAGGTTGTAAAATAAGAGTGAAATAAATATTCTTTTGTAGTCTAAATTAAAAAGCCCCAAACCGTTTTGCCAGGAGCAGATCATGTAATTGTCAGTCTTTTGGTGACATTTAGAAATCCACTTTATGAATCATTTCTTAATTCTGTAGACTATGTTAACATAAGTTAGGCAATATCAGTATTTCTTTCTATATATTTATTGTTTTCATAAGGGATTTTAGTAGTAAGTGGTATTTTAACCTCATTACAGAAGAACTATTTTTAACATGTGCTGACCTTCAGAGCATATGTTTCCTATAGGAGGGATACACAATAACCTAATACATTTATTGATTGATTTACATGAAGCTGATTTAATCCTTGAAATAGCCCTGTGAGGTAGATACTATTTTTATTACTTTGTTACAGATTAAGAAGCAGCTGTTTGGAGATGTTAATGATTTGCTGCATTTCATGTAATTGAAATTAGTGAAATTGACATTTGGACTCAGATT